CCATCAAGGAAAGAAGGGATATGAGACTGGAAAGAAAGCCAATGACTGGTGGGCTCATGGCTGTCACCACTATGAACAACAGGAAGGTAGTCCTGCCGGGGACAGTCCAAGAGAACTATGGGAGCCAATTCAAAATCACCCACTGAAGGGCGAGGAAACCAAGGGGTCCAAAAACTCATGTCCCTCACTGGTTGAGGTTCAGGTGGAAGGGGTCTCAGTGAGATCTCTGGAGCAGAGCCTGAGGTGGGGAGGTTGTGTGAGCTCCCTAGAAAAAGGGCAGCAGGGTCCACAGGTGAAGAACTGAGCAAGGAGGCTACCTCAACTGGAGTACACTTTAGACTGATCCCATGGGGATTCCTGGGGCCCAGCTGTACCACAGAGCAAGGGGCTGGCTGGCTGCCCCTCTGCATCTGTTCAGCCACATGAGGTCTGTTGCAGGGCTGGCGTGGGGTTGGTGGGGTGTCATAGCGCCTGACAATGGCAGCTCCACTTGGCCAATGACACTTCTCTCAAGGGAACAGGTACCAATGTTCCCAGCACATGGCAGATGGGGACCACAGCATGATAGGGTTTGGGTCTGGTACCTACAGTATGCACTACAGAGGACATGCTCAAATAGCAAGCCTGCGATCATGGACCTATTGCTCACTTTGGAGAGATTGAGGCAGAGTCTGTTAAAGGTCCTGGAAAGTCTGGGATGCTCAGTGGCTGTGCACATATCTTACTGGTCCATATCTGTTAAAAACTAGTCATATATTGTCTTTATGGAGCTGTCACCGGAAGGGCGATGGGGTGAGGGCTCTTGCAGCCCCAGAGCTTAGCATTGTGTCCATCGCAAAGCGGAGGTTCATGAAAGGTCAGAACAAGATATGTGGGTCATCTGTGACCATAGCAGGAGAGAGGTTCCTTCCCCAGTAGCTCCAACAAGCATTTGTTTTTGCTGTGCACAGGGCCTAATCAAGGAATTAGGAACATCCTAATTTCTAGAAAAATCACTGGATAATTATACAAAATCCATAGTTCTAAAGAAAAGGGCTTACAGGTAAGGTGGCTCATGCCTGTAATCCCAACTACTTGTGGAAGGATCATGGTTTGAAGCCAACCATAGGGAAAAAGTTAGCAAGACCCTAAAAGAAAGCCTTTTTTTTTTTTTTCCTTTACTGGGGATTGAACCCAGGACCTCTTGCATACCAGGCAAGTGCTCTGCCACTGAGCTACATGCCCAAGTCACACACTTTCAAAAGTATGCGAAAACTTTACAAAAACTGGTCATTTTCTAAGGTGTAATGGAAGCCTCATATATTCCAAAAAGATAAAATTCTGGGAGTTGTGTCTCTGACCACAATAATGAAATGATACATTAAATAAATAATCTCTTTCAAATAACTGTAGAGTGAAAATGAAATCAAATCTTTGGCTAGATAATATTTTGGGGGGTTTGTTGTGTTTTTATTAGTGAGTATTAACTTGACTGTAGTAATGTGTTTCATCATGATGGTCCCACATGTGAGTGTAAGGTACTTAATCAGATTCACCCCTCTGTTATTCTTTCTTATCACCCCAGTTGTAGAATATTTTAAAACTATGTTTATGATGCAGCTGACCTTGTCCTCAGGGGAGACAGCCTCCTCAGACAGCAGATCAACCTCAGCACTGCTGATGTTTGGGGACACGGGATTCTTTGTTCAGGAGGCGGGGATGGAGGGCAGCTGTCCTGCGTGATGTGGGGTGTTTGGCAGGGACTTTGGCCACTACTGGCTAGAGGCCCAGAGTATCCCCTGTTATAAGAACCAAAGTGAATTGAGACATCCTCAAACATCTCTGCCTGGAAGATTGCTCCATCTGAACCCCGATCCTAGCTGCCTCGATTCTTAGAGGGGGCAGGGGACAAATAAATTACTTAACTTCAAAAAGCTAAAGGTTAGCATTGACAGAGAGGAGAGAATTCTGTTAATAATGACCAGGAAAGCTATTGAATTGATTTTTTATATAGATAAGAATTGGTTCTTTTGAAAAGAAAACAATTAAAAGCAACATGTATTCACAATATTATGATTTAATGGAGGCTTAACTAGAAAAAACCAGAGTAAATTAAGGGGCTTGAGGCATGGCTCAAGAGGCAGACTCCTTGCCTAGCATGTGTGAGGCCCTGGGTTTAGTCCCCAGTGCCAAAGAAGAGGAGGAGGAGGAGGAGGAGGAGGAGGAGAGGGAGGAGGAAGAAGAAAAGAGGGAGGAGGAAGAAGAAGAATCCCAGAGTGAGTTAAAAATATAGTGTCTCAGCTATATGATATTAAGAGTTAAAGTCTGGCTGAAAGTCTGAGGATGTAGTACAGAGGTATTGCACTTGCTTGCTGTGCATGAGGCCCTGGATCAGATCTCCAGCACCACAAAAAAAAAAAAAACCCAAAAAGATAATTTTCACACACATACATACATATATACATTTACATTTGGTATATATAAAAATTTTAAAAACTGGCCCAAGAGAAGATGGGAACTAACACAGCCATGGAAGATATTGTGAAAACAAACAAACAAAGGTACTGGACCTCAGATGGTTTTACATCTAAGCTCTTCCATTTCCCTAAAGAAAATGTAATTTGTATGTTATTTAAACCATTCTACGCATGACGAGAAAGGGAAACATTTAGTTCTTTTTTAAAGCTGACCATGACACAAGTACCAACACTTGACAAAGATAGCACCAGTAAATAAAAACTAAGAGATATGTAAAAAAGACAGTCTCCCAGAAACAAAGGCATGCCAGCCAAATATAGCAGGCAAGGGCGGCTGTGTTAATATCAAACTCCACTGAATTCAAGGCAAAAATGAGACACATTGCCATAATAAAAAGTACAGTTGATAATGAAGATTTGCAATAAAAACCAACATAAAGTTTCCAAAACAAAAACTTAAGTGTAAAACACATTTAAAAAAAATTTATTGTGCTGGGGGTACACTGTGGCATTTAGGAAGGTTCTTACGGTGTATCAAATATATCACACTTGCATTCACCCCCTCCACCATTCTCCTTTATCCACCCCCCTCCCTCCCCACACCCCAATTCCTGGAAGAGTTTCAACAGGTCTCATTTTTCCAGTTCCATACATGGGTACACAGTATTTGCACCATATTCACCCTCCCATGCCCTTTTCCCCCATCGTCCCCCTCCCACTGGTACGAATCCCCCTTGCAGGATCTATTCTGCCCTCCTGTAAAAGAAAAAAAAAAGACATTTTTGTTTGTTTAAGATAGCTACACAGGGACTTTCCTTGTGATATTTCCATGTAAAAAGGGAGATTTTGATGCAAGCAGAAAAGTTGAGGTCAACCTAGACTAGCCTGTGTCAGATTAAAGAGTCAAAATTAAGAAAGGTTCTAAAAAATACATTCACTGCTGATCAAATGGATCAGTGATACAGTGCTATGTTCGTGTACCAACACAGCCTACTCTGCACGTAAATTCTGTGGAATATGTTTAACATTTAATCATATTCAAATCCCAAAGAAAACCTTAACAAATTTTCAAAAGTACAAATGGTATATTCCACATTCTTTGATCATTTTTGTTACTAGAAATTATAGGCACAGGGAAAAGAAACAAAATAAAATTAATCACTTAGAAATTTTACAAGTTTCCTACACAACTCTTGGGATCAAAGAAAAAATACATACACATTCAGAAAACAATGAAAATCTTACACAATGAAGTCTATGAGAAATACTAAAGCCGTGCTTAGAGGAAAATTCATATTACTAAGCATATTATTAAAATTTAAAAAAAGGAAAACACATGAATTTAAAATGTAGCTCAAGGAGAGGTAGAGAGCTTGCCTAGCAAACACAAGTCTCTGAGTTCAAACCCTAGTAGTGCCAATAAATAAATATAAAATGTAACTCAAAATTGAAGGGGAGCATCAATAATGAATCTTTAAAAAGCAGAGGGCGAGCTTGATAAAGATAAAATGAGATCTTAAAGAATTAGAAAACAGAGAAGCAGCAGGGATAAATTTAGATCTGATTCTTTTGAGAAGAGAACCTACATAAAAATCAAAGTCCACTAGTTTGCCTAATGCAGAGAAAGCGAGGGGAAAATGCATATTTTTAACATTAGAAAGAATAAATAGCCACAAATGCAGAGAAATAAAAACAATTATAAGTATATTCAAATTAGCAAGCCTTGCTGAACCTTGTGTGTTTGGGTCAAGAGCACACGCTAGTTGAGCTGCAGGCCTGGCTCAAGTCATAGAGTGCCTGCCTCACCAGCAGAAGGCTCTGAGTTCAAACCCTAGTACCACCAAAAAAAGAAAAGAAAGTACAAAGTATGCTTTCTTGTATTTCAAAAATAACCAGTTAGAAAGTACCATGGGGAATATAGCTAATAAGAAAATTACTGAGAGATACGAAGAAAAATGCTAAATATTAGAGATTTCCTTATTCATGTATTTAAACAAACACTTCTACAATATGGGGCTTACCATATACCAGGTACATTTGATCCTTAACAGCCTTAGAAGATAGGTTTGATTCTGTCTGCATTTTACAGATAAGGTACAGAGAGGTTAAGTCACTTGGCCAAAATCACACAGCTGGTAAGGGACAGGACGAAGATTTAAAAGGTAGTTGGCTTCCAACATCTGTGTTTTTTGTAGTTACATTGAGTAGTAAATCAAGCAGAGACATGGTGCAGGAGGGAGGCTAGTGTCACAGCTGGCTGAACTCTGGCAAGGGCTGAGATGCTAAACGCCTATCCAGGGTGGATGCCAACACAGTGGCAAACCACCAAGGAATCCGTTGTTCCCCAACGGATGTCTCAAATCACACAGAGGTCAAGGTAGAATGGAACTCCTCCTAGAGATCACCTATCAGGGACCCTCAGGGGACCCACAGCCCAGCACGAGGCCAGCCACCTGCCGCTCCTCACCTGTGTGTCCCTCCTGAGTCACAGGACCCAGGATGTGACGGGCGAGTCTCTAATTCAAGTGCCGTGTCCTTCTGCAGATCCAGGAGATAGTGCACTCAGAGGTTGCTGCCTACGACTCAGGCCGGACAGGGCCCCTGCTGGGCCGCCCAGCGATGCTGGCGAGCCACATGAGCGCGCTCAGCCAGTCCCAGCTCATCTCCCAAATGGGCATCCGGAGCAGCATTGGCCACGGCTCTCCGTCACCCCCAGGGAGCAAGTCTGCGACCCCTTCTCCCTCCAGCTCCACGCAGGAGGAGGAGTCAGAAGCCCATTTCAAGGTACATGGGTGGCAAGGCAGTGAAGGAGGGGCCTGCTGGGACATGGGCTCCTCTGAGAAAGACTGGAAGGGTGCTGTGTCCTTTGCTAGAAGCCAAGGAGGAAGAGTCAGCAGGTGAAACAGGAAATGGGAACCCTGGTCCATGGGGGTGGCATCCATGGGGACACTGGGCTTCTGCTGAATCTGCCAGAGGCTCTGCCCCCTACCCTGTGCCCATGGTGGCCCTGCAGAGGCCAGGGCACAGCCACAGGCCCAAGTCCGGAGACCCAGGACTCCAGGCGTGAAGTTCCTGTGCTGCTTGATCCAGCCTCATCTTCAGGATACCTTGGCCAGTGTCACTGGACAGGCAGGGGTGGCTTTGGTTTTATCTCTTATTTAATAAGCACTTCTCAAACACTGCTATGGCCAGACACTGTTTTAAGCATGTGACAAGCATTTATCCATGTACTCCCCATGACAGTCCTATATGATAGGCACTGTTCATTATCTCCATTAGACAAATGGGGAAACTGAAGCACCAAGAAGTTAAAGTTATCCAGTGTTGCACAGCCAGGATCAGACCAGGTGTCTGCTGCAATCTGGCATATGTGCCCTTAACCCCCTGCAGTGTCCATCTGTCAGCTCTGCATACATCACAGACACATCTTCAGCCCTTATCTTAACAGGGCCTGACCATTGCTGCTAATGAGATGAAGGCCTAGAGAGGTGGTGGCTGCAGGGGAGACCTGGGGACAGCCAGTCAGGCCCTGCCTTCCCCCTCCATCAGACATGGAGGTCTGAGTCTTGTCTACTGGCCAGGTTTCCTTGTCAGTTCATGGTGTCACCTTCATCTCGGCACACAGACTCACAGACCTCACAGCAGGTCCAGGGACTTGACAATAGACAAGAGACCCACTGAGGTCTATAGGGAACTTCCCAGCCCCATCCCATCCTGGAAGCCCTAAGTCAGGTGTAGATAGGACTGTGGTCCTAAAGTCTGTCTGAGTGGAACCCCTGGCTCCAGGGCTGGCCCAATAGCAGTCACTTTAGCTTTGTTCTTTGTCACCACCCCATAGGAATCCAGGAGATAAGCCACCTGATCAGTTGTACAGTTGAAGTGTGGTGGAGAAGACCCTCCTTGTATAATCAAGGACATTCATTTGAGATTATTTGTGATCGTGGGTAGAACAGTTAGTAAAAAAAAAAAAAAAAAGCAGACCATGGAGAATGGCCCCGCTGCTTCTTCTCTCTCAGTGTCAGACCCAGGTGTGGTCTACGTGCCCCCTCCAGAACAACAGGTCCTCCAGGGCCCGTCTTGGCTCTGATTCCTTCCTTATTGGTTAGCAGCTTTTACAGGTCTGTAAAGGAAGGTGTTAACTTGGGGGAAAAGCAAAAGAACTTTTTTAAATTTTAAAACATGGTAAAGATGCCAATGATTTCTATCTAGCATAGTATTAAAAGTCCCCAGGCAGTAGTTTTATTGCTGCAGAGGACCCAGGCTGATTGTGACTGCACTGTAGTAGCCTTGACCCATCGGTCTCTCAGTGATGAAGACGCCTCCTCCTCCGGGGTTTCTCTGAGTCAACTTTACAGTTGCGTTTATTCTCCTTCAAGAGTTAAACCTGCCCCAGGGCTCCTACCTAGACACACAGGGGGTGTGTCTGTCTGTCTGTGTCTCTGTGTCTATGTGTCTGGCTCTCTGTGTCTGTGTGTGCAGGTCCATCTTTCTGTCTTTCCATCGCCTTCCCACCCTGACAGTGCAGGTCAAGCTGCATGGGTGTGCCCTGGGTGGGGCTGCCCTGTCCCTACCTACATGTAAGCAGGGCTGGACAGGCCTGAGGCTAGCTGGGGTCACCTTTGGCAGGAGATTCTATAGTTTTCTGACTCCTGTCACTGGCCAGATCTCGGGAGAGAAGAGACCCTCAGCAGACCCAGGAAAAAAGGCCAAGAATCCAAAGAAGAAGAAGAAGAAGGACCCCAACGAGCCCCAGAAACCTGTGTCAGCCTACGCACTTTTCTTCAGAGACACTCAGGCTGCCATCAAGGGACAGAACCCCAGTGCCACCTTTGGGGATGTGTCCAAAATTGTGGCCTCCATGTGGGACAGCCTGGGAGAGGAGCAGAAGCAGGTGAGCCTCGATCTCTTCCCCAGCCACCCCTGGGGCTTTGGGGCCCTGGAACCAGGGACAGGATTAGAAGGTGTGAACTGGCCCAGCCTCTGGGACCAGAGGCTCCTTCCTGGGCCCAGTTTGCCCATCTGTAAATGGGGGTTCTGTCCAGTGCTGCCACTTCCCAGCTGTGTTCACTAGCAACGTAACCACTCTGGACCGCTGTTTCCCCATCCATAAAATGAGAACAAGCAAAAAATAGAAAAATGAGAACAAGCATGTCAGTCCATCTTTTTTTTTTTTTTTTTTTTTGATGGGGACAGGGAAGTATCTGGGGTTTGAACTTAGGGTCTAGCAGTAGCTGAGCAGGTCTCTACCACTTGAGCCACATCCTCTACTCCAGACCTTTTTGCTTTTAGTTATTTTTTAGATAGGGACTCATGCTTTTTGCCTGGACCGGCTGACCTCAGACCACAATCCTCCTATCCATGCTTCTGCAGTAGCTGGGACTATAGGTGTATACCACCACACCCAGTCCCTTGTTCCCTAAAATCTGTAGCTAGGGCAGAGATTCCTGTCCCACCACTGACTATATGCCTGTGGCCCCCTTGAAAGGCCTCCAAGGGGAGTGTGGAGCAGAAGTAGCTTATACATAAATGCTATTACCAGATAGGTGCCTTGGGCTGATGACCTTGGTCCCTACTTTCTGGCTTCCATTCTCTAAGTGTGCTGGGCTGAGCCCTGTGCTGGACCCTCCTTCTGTGATCTCACTACACTTATATCACTTGACTATTTTGATAGGAAGAGAGGAAGATGAGAGGCTGAGTGACTTGCCCAAGGTTACAGCCAGGCTGCAGTCAGATCTGTAGAAGCAGGAAGGTCAGTTGGGCTGTTGCTATAAGATGTATTAATCCAATAATCAAGAATTAAGCATAAAACACAGTAGTAATTGTCCCATGTGCCAGGAGGGACCATACGACAGGAGAGCAAAAAGAGGAGGCAAGGGCATAGTCTTGTTAGGTGAGACTGCAGGGTGAGGGAGGGGAGACTGCAGGGTGAGGGAGGGGAGACTGCAGGGTGAGGGAGGGGAGACTGCAGGGTGAGGGAGGGGAGACTGCAGGGTGAGGGAGGGGAGACTGCAGGGTGGGGAGGGGAGACTGCAGGGTGGGGGAGGGAGACTGCAGGGTGAGGGAGGGGAGACTGCAGGGTGAGGGAGGGGAGACTGCAGGGTGGGGGAGGGGAGACTGCAGGGTGGGGGAGGGGAGACTGCAGGGTGGGGGAGGGGAGACTGCAGGGTGAGGGAGGGGAGACTGCAGGGTGAGGGAGGGGAGACTGCAGGTAGCAGAACCATGTTGACAAAGGTAGTGAAGGGAAGGAGACTGGCAAGCACACTGGAGTCCAGGGTGGCCAAACAGAGACAGAGCTGGCAAGGTGGGCAGGGGGCAGGCCAGGTGGGCTATTGCAGGCCTGAAAAGGGTAGGATCCTAGCTGCATAAAGTTGGTGGAGTTAACGTGGCAGATCCTCACCACCGGGGAGGGAGATGACAGTGGTCAGGACAAGGTGGACAGGGAAGGGGACACAGCATATGGTGCAAGCCTCCTTCACGGGGTTCTGGCTTGCACTCTGGGTGAATGGGGAGGAGGAAGGTACAAGAAGAGTCCAGTCTTGGGCCAAAGAGATCCATCATTGATCTCCTTGAAATCCTGCCCTTATCTTACCTGAAATATTAAAAAATTCTGACTATAGTTCAGCACCGGTAGTTTATTTGGGAGGTGGTCCCAGCGTGTGCTGCCCAGGGGAGGAGGGAGTGTGAGACAGGGACAGGAAGGCAGCCAGTAGAGGGCCGTGGAAGTGGACGGCTGCCAGCTGGAGAAGGGGGTCAGGCTGGGCCCTGTGTCTCATCATCCACAGGCTAGCCAGGCTTGTTCACATAGCAATTCAGAGAGGCCACCCCAGTGTGCACGCACTTCTCATGTCTCACACATTTGTTCTCGTCCCGTTGATCAAAGCAAGTCCAAAGGCCAAGCCCCAAGGCATTGTGGGAGGCTCTAGTAAAAGGCATGGACAGAGGATGTGAACAGACAGGGGCCATCCCTACAGTAACATGTGAACCTAGGTCTAAAATTCCTGATAACAGTTTTAGCAAATATGAATCCAGACTAGCTACTCTGAACAAGTAGAGTTTGTGCCAGAATTAAGAAATCTGCCCTGTGCAGACTCAAAAGAGGGGCTTCCATGGGCCATGTATTTCTGTAGTAAGTTGTGCTAATGTGACCTGAAGGCCCAGAGAGGTGAAGCATGTGCCCAAGGGCACACAGCAATGTAGATAAAAAGTTGGAGGATAGCCTGAACTCTGTGCTCCCTGTGCAGTGCTCCCAGAGAGGAGCCAGTAGGTGAGTGACCCAGCTTCTGATCCCACCACCCCCATCCATGCATAGCCCCAGAATCCATGCCTTCTCATTCCAGGCTCTGCACCATGACTCCTCTGTGACATTATCCCTGGAGTTGCCCATGTCTTTCATCTTTCAGGCCTACAAGAGAAAAACTGAAGCAGCGAAGAAGGAGTACCTGAAAGCCCTGGCAGCCTACAGGGCCAGCCTTGTCTCCAAGGTAACAGCATCCCTAGGCAGCGCCCTGATACCAGTGGACCACTTGAGGGATGGAACAGGAGCTGGGGCCTGTGGGAGTGACCAAAGCACCATAGGCCTTGGAAAGGACGGGTGAGACCTGTAGGTCACATCTACAGTGCCCCAACAGTGTGCCGGGCCCATGGTGTGCACTCTGCCTGTATCTTTTTTCACTGAATCCTTCCTTCAAGAACTCAGCACTCACAGGGGCTCAGGAACATGCCTGGATTTGTTGAGTGGTGGTTCTAGGTTCAAATCCAGCTTTGCCAGTCTTGACTCCTGACCACGCCTTTGTCTCTGTCCATACCAGCAGCACAGGGGCAAGGTGTGGCTGTGGATGTGTGGCCCAAGAAAAGGCAGGGTGTTGTCCTGGAGGCTGTCACAGAGGAGATATCACCAAAATTGGGACATAAAGGGCTAAACAAAAAAGGATGCTCACAGTCGAGGGACTAGTACCTGGGAGGCAAGAGACTGCTGACACTGGCATCACTGCCAGGCTGAGGTGTATGGGACCGCGCACGTGGCAGGAAAGCCCACGCAGAGATAAAGGCAGGGCTGGGTGGCTGGGCAGAGCCAAGAGTCCTAAGTCTGCTGCACAGTTATGACTGCTCCATCCATGCTCTCCCCTGAGGAGACAGAGAGGCAGCCACCAGCCATGTCAGCAGGTGGCAGAACCACCTGATCTCACAGCCTGGTTTCCAGCTTGTCCCTTGTCTCCAGAGTGACTGGTTTCCGTCTCCTTGCAGAGTCCTCCGGACCAAGGCGAGGCCAAGAGCACTCAGGCAAACCCAGCAGCCAAGATGCTCCCACCCAAGCAGCCCATGTACGCCATGCCCGGCCTGGCCTCCTTCCTGACACCCTCCGACTTGCAGGCCTTCCGTAGTGGGGCCTCTCCTGCCAGCCTCGCCCGGACGCTGGGCTCCAAGGCGCTACTGCCAGGCCTTAGTGCATCCCCCCCACCACCCTCCTTCCCACTCAGCCCCCCACTGCACCAGCAGCTGCCACTGCCCCCCCACGCCCAGGGCGCCCTCCTCAGCCCACCTGTGAGCATGTCCCCGGCTCCCCAGCCTCCTGTCCTTCCTGCCCCCATGGCACTCCAGGTGCAGCTGGCCATGAGCCCCTCACCTCCAGGGCCTCAGGTAAGCAGGGCAGAGCAGGGACAGCCTTCTGTGACCCTTGTGGAGAGGGGAGGCAACTGGGGATTTCACATACTAGCCATGCCACTCACCAGCTGTGTAACCTCAGCCATAGCAGTCTACCTCTCTGGGCCTCAGTTTCTGCATCTGTGAAATGGGTCTAGTACACCTTGCCTGAGAGGTACTGCTGCAGTGAACAGTTGACCAGCTAAAGGCAGATCCTCTTGGCTATTCCAGGGCCTCCTTCTTTCACCTGTCCACTTCAGCAGCCAAGATGCTCCCACCTGGCCCAAGAGACTGAGGCTGCTATGCCATCTGACACATCATCCCTAGCCCCTAGTTCTCCCCAAAGCCTTTGAGGCCTAGACCCCACTGATTGTTCCATAGGGACTGTTCTAAAGAACTCATGCAGTTCAGTAACTCCATTTTACAGATTGGGAAACTCAGGCTCAGTAAAGCAAAGGCCCTGAAAGAGTCATCCCTAGTCAGCTAAAACAAGGATTGAGTTCTTTCTCTTTCCCTTGTGTTGCTAGGGATAGAACCCAGGGCCTTGCATATGCTAGTCAAGTGCTGCTCTATCACTGAGCCACACCCCAAGCTCAGGTTGAATTTTCTGAAAGGTGCTCCATTAGGGAAAAGGAAGATGGCTTGGAGGCAGGGTGGACATTCTGTCTGGCCCTGAGGAAGTGTCTCTGCAGAATGATGCCCTCAGACACACAGACTATGCCACCTGGCTGCCTGAGAGACACCTCCCCTTTGTCTCTCTGCTCCCCTTTGTCTCTCTTTGTCCTTCCCCTGTAGGACTTCCCGCACATATCTGAGTTTCCCAGCGGCTCTGGCTCCCGTTCTCCTGGCCCATCCAACCCCACGAGCAGTGGGGACTGGGATGGCAGCTACCCTGGCGGGGAGCGAGGCCTCAGCACCTGCAGGTCAGTCCTGCCTTTGTCCTGCTGCTCAAGGGGAGTGGGGCAGGGGTGGCCAGGGGATAGGGGAACACTCGGGAATTGGAGTAGTCCTGGTCAAGCCCTGCCTGCAGATGCCGAGTCTGCAGAAGGTGATGTAGAGCAAAGCAAGGCCCCAGAGGGTCTCAACTGATCAGATGCCCAGGTCTGCTTGGGCAACTAAGAACACCCTTCACTCCTGCCTTTCTCCCTCCATCTGTTTCTTCACAAATGCTTCTATGTGATAGACACACATGGGTCCTGTCTTAAGCTGAGTTTCCTAGAAGCAGAGCCACGTCATCAGGAACGGGGGTGCCCTGGATGATGTGTGAGGGGAGTTGGCAGAAGAACAGGGTGAGGGAGGGAGGACAGGGCAAGGAAAGAGCCAGGCAGGGATGTGACCTCAGCTAGAGATGGCCTCTGCCTGATCCTGCTAGGCCCTGGGGAGTGAATGATGCCACAGGGGGTCCCTGTGGGAGGTCAGGGAGCTACCTTTCATACCCAGCTTAGTCATCAGCTGTGAGCCACCCCCACGTGTAGCCCCCCTAGTCAGGACAGTTCTCTGGAGAATGGGATGACTTGGTGCACAGGACAGGGGCCCTGGATCAGGCACCCTAGGAGAAGGGGCCAACCTTGGAAACACATCCCACTAGCCCCTGTGGTCGGTGTCCTCTTGACACTCAGATACTAGAGTCACATGGTTCCTTCCCAGTCCCCTCACACTAACTGCCCCTTCTCTAGAAAGCCTTCCTGGATCCTAGTCACACCAACTCCCGGGCAGTGACCTTTAGTGTTAGCCCACAAAGGAAGAACAGAATGGAGGAGGCCCACCAGCTTCTTCATCTGCTAACCAGGTTCCCATTTCCTTAGCACGAATGAACCCGTGGCCCCACCTGGGGACCGTGATGCCAAGCAGCTTTCCCAGCTGCTGCTCTTTCCCCTTCCGGGCTCTTTCCATGTTTGGTGGACTGTGGTCACCTCTGCCACCAGGCAGCAGCCACCCTAGCCTTGACCACTGGCCTTCCTGCATGAGCTGCTCACTCTGTCTAGTCTGAAGTGCTCTTGGGCACTGAGTGACTCTGCGCATGTCCCCATTTCTGATGTGCCCAGATACAGCGACTGCACGCGTGGGCAAACTCAGCTAGTAAGGATTCCCTTCCCCACCCCAAGCAGGCGTAGACCCTCTTGTCCAGCCCTCTCCCCTCACCAGTTTTCCTCCCCAAAGCCCCAGTGCTGGGGAGGAGCAAGTGGCCAGCCCTTCATACCCAGCATGGAATTTGGGCCTATTCTAATGACAGAAAAGGTAACTGACTGCCCTCCTGTAATTCTGTTTGATATATACAAGGGAGAAAACAGATGTGGGAGCAGTGGCCGTACTGGAATAGGTTTCAGTGAAGGACAGACACGCTGTTGCCCTTTCCCCCAGGTTCCAGAATTGGGTGCTTTGGCCCCCACTGAGATGCCGGGAGGAGGTGTTTGGATTTGCCTGGTGGACAGTGGACAGTGGGAGGGCCCAGCCACAATCCCTCAGAGGAGCAGCTGATCAGGGTGAGGGGCCACTAGCCAGAGCACAGGGGTCCTGGCACTCCCTGGACCCCCATGTTCACAGTGCCAGGTGGGCTCCAACAGCTGACAGCCCCTGCTCTCTCCCACAGCCTGCTCCCCAGGGATAAATCGCTCTACCTCACCTAATCCCGCTTCCCATCCCTCCCTGAGGCTCGCTGGAGGGCACTGCTCAGAGCCTGAAGGGCTGACCACAGGAGAGAGGCCGTGGCAGCAGGCAGGGTGACCGGCCAGCGAGAGCAGTGACACACCAATGCCCCAGGACTGAGTCTCTTCCTCGACCTCCCACCAGACTCTGCCGAGGCAGCCCACCACCCGCTGCCAGCCCAAAGAACCTGCAGGAACCTTCTGCCCGCTGACCTGCTTGCTCCAGGGTAGCTGTGGACCCCGCTCCTCGCCCTGCACACAGTTCCCTCTGTCTGGACATCTGGCCCCAACCTGAGCTCCCTGGGCTGCCCCTGGCAGGGTCGTTCATCAATAGAAACCCACGCCAGATGAGGGGCCAGGGGGCTGCCAGCCACAGGTGTGCAAATACGGTTTCCCGGCCATGGGCTCTGTGTAAGTAGTTACTAAGTGTTTTAGAACTGTGCTGAAAACATCTGTGAGATTATTTTGTGGGGAAAAGTAGTTTCCTTTAAGGTAAAAAGCATTTTATATGGCCCTTAGCACATTTTTTTAAGTTTTATCTTAAGGGAGACGTGTGCACAAGCAGCTGTCAGACATGCTTCACCTGCACAGCGAGAGAGAACCAGACAATTTACAGCCGCCTTGGAGGCATCCTTCTTTGTCGGGTTTTAAACGGTGTGTCCATCTGCTTAAAATTGCCAATGATGATCTTTGTCATCTATTTATGGAGAAAACTCGAGAACAAAGTTGCAGTTTATCCTAACGTATGCGTGTCGGGGTTTGATTTGGGTTTGGGTTCTTGACGTTGTTTGCAGCTGTATTCTGGCCCTGGCAAATGTCTGTCCCAGTGCCCAGTGCTTCTCTCAGATCTCTTTATAATAAAACTTCTGAAAATGGCAAGCTAGTCTGTGTCTTCCTGCACTTTGTGAGCCAGGCAGGGCCTTCTGATGTGGCATTTGGTGGTGACTTTGCCAGGATGGAAGAGCCCTGCCCCTCAGGAAGACAGACTTGGATCAAAGTCCTACCTGCCTTTGACCAGCCTATGTAAGTGTGGGGTGGGGCACAGGCCTCAGATTTTCCAAAAGGGAGATACAAAACTCAACACAGTTCTTGGCACACAGTAAGTGATCAATAAATGTGTTGAAAGGTAGAAGACATCACCCCACCACGTGAATCCACACAGGGGCTAAACATCAGACCTTCCATGAAAAGCTTGCCCCTCCAGAAACTGAAGAGTGTTGATAAAATCCCTAGTGCCCAAAGAATACCCCAAATGTGCAGAGAGAACACTGGTATTGTCCAGTCAGATTTTCTATGACTTCAGTATGGGACTAGGAGTGTAACTCAGTAGTAGGCACTTGCCTAGCATGCGTGAGGCCCTGGGTTCCATCCCCAGAGCACACACACTCACACACACAAATACACACCCAGACTTCAGTATGAAATTGAACTGATTATAAATGTGACCGCCAACATGTTTGGGGGAACAGTGAAATGGTATGGTGCCGACTCTCAAGGTCCTCTGTGATGAAAGGGTTATGGGCAGGGAGCACCACCACTTGGTGACAACGGGTGACAGTACTGAGTCCTAGCTCAACACTTGGTTGGGGATGGGGTCTCCCGCTGGAGGAGGTGAGCAGTGGGAACAAGCATCCTAGACCAGGGACTCCCTAAACCAGGCTCCCCCGCCAGACGGTAGGTGGCAGCACTTAACAAAAGTAACGATCATGTGTTTCCTTTAACTGTCTGGAAAAAGAATTGCCTGTGGGGGAGGGGCTGTTGGGAGGCTGAGATTGTCACACCCTGTGACACACCTCTTTTGAGGAGGGGGCAAGTGTCCTGCTCTGAGCCAAGCAGTGACCTAGACAGAGGAGCCCCCATCTTTACGGTGCCAGCTCACGACCACTCCTTCTCCCGGCATGGCAGCCCCTACTTCCAGATGACAGCCCAGGGGCAGGGGCAGCCTCACTGGGAGCCCTTTCCTCCCTGGAGGGCATGTCATCATCCACTTAGGAAAAGAAACCCCCCAAACAAACAAAACCAGCAGGTTGTCACATCGGTGCAGCCCCGCGATGTGGACCATCAATATTTCATGTGCTTCCAGTTTCCTTTCCTGTGTGGAGCTTGTCACAACATGGTGGTGGCTTAGACAGCTCAATATGCGACTCTTGCTTCTACAAGGGAGAGAACAGAGTCATGGATGCGTGCAGACATCCCCAAAAAATCAGAGCACAGGGCCACCGGATTCCTCAGAGTAGAGCCCCACAGTCCCCTGTTCTGTCCCAAGTGCTCGGGGCCATTAGAGGTGTCCGTGTGCCCAGGCTGGCCTCTTGGCTGCTTGGGATGTCCAGTGTAAACATCTACCTGCAGATATCAGGAGACTTGTCACATAGGTGTGATCTCTGGACCCCGAGAGTGGGAACAGAGCCGATGTGTCAAAGTACAAAAGGCTAATGTCAGGACCGTGGAATGGACACCAACTGTCTTCTACTTGGGTCGCCATGACAGAATTCTGTAGACTGAGTGGCTTGTAAACTTTAGACATCTATTTCTCACATTTCTGGAGTCTGGGAAGTCCAAGATTAAGGTGCTAGCAGACTCTGTGTCTGGTGAGGGCCTACTGCCTAGTCCATAGATGTCCACTCATCTTCCTGTGTCTTCACGTGGCAGGGGGCAGAGCGCACAGTTTAGGGTCTCCTTGATAAGGGCACAAGTCCCAGGAACGAGGGCTCAAGTCTCACTTCCATATTACCATGACATCAGAGGGTAGGATTTCAACATGTGACTGGGGGTACACAAGCATCCCTCTACAGCACCAGTTGTGCTCATTGGCCTGATTCCATGTCTAGCCCAGGAGTGTTGGCTGCTTTCACTCCAGCTGCCACCCTTGTCCAATCATTACCTCTGGTGGAAGGTTATGCCCGCCCCCTAGAGCTGCCCATGGCAAGTGATCAAACAACTGGGAAGCCCCTCCCTTCTGTGGAGCCATTCACTCTCCAGAGTTCTCCAGGGGACTAGGCAGAAGCATGTCTCCAGTGACATCTTTTCGATCAGCTACTGTTCCCTTCCCTCCCATTCTGAGAGCTCCCACTCAGTAAGCCACATGAACCAGAATCCCTACCTCAGGCCTTGTGTATTTCTAGGGAAATGGACCTAAGATGCGTGCTGGGCCCATGGGTAGAGTGGGGCCACTCCTGGGCTGTGGTCCTGTCTGCAAGTGTAGGACTTCCTTCTCCTGGGAAGCTGTCCACTGCATTCTACTTCACCCTGCAATGATGGTGGCCACAACCACTAAGCCCCACAAGCCTAGCCATGGGTGCCCCCAACCTGCCCTGTACTCCACAATCTGTCAGTCTTTCACCCCACAACCTTGGCATGGTCAGGGACTCTGCAGCTGTGGCATGCGTGACTCACCAGGGCCAGTCTGCCATCTGAACCTGAAAGCAGTGGCTTGACATCGGGAATCCCTTTGGGTGCTGCTGGCAGCCTGTCTCATTTGTCCGCAGAGCCAGCCCAGGGCCTAGGAACCAGCACCACTCTCCTATTCCAGGGCTAAGCTCCTGCTTCAGTCTCCTCCGTGCTCACCTCCCCACAGACACACGGACACCCTAGCAAGAAGCAGAGCAGAGCCAAGGCTGCACTCCTACTCCAGGGGAAGACGTGGCTGGGCCTGAGATTGACCAGTGGTGGGCCACTCCTCCCAGAGGGACCTGGACGAGTTTCACGTTAGCCTGGAGGGTGGGCAGCATGGCACCAATGGGCCTGAAAGAATTTTCAGAGCCCATGGTGTTCAAATTCAGTTTGCTTATCAGGCAAGAATACAAAGCTACACAGTTCCTCTCCACCAGGCCCTGGCTGGGCCCTCTCCAGATGCTTCAGATCTGCTTGAGGAGGTGAAGAAGGAAAACACTAATGTTTAATTAATTATAAAAATGTAACTTTATATTGTAAATCGTAAATGCAGAAAGCTAAAAGAGAGGGCAGGAGAACTCCAAACAGGAGCCCCTGGTCCGGCTTGAAGGCTTTCTGTAGGAGGGGACGTCTATGCTGGGCTTGAGTTTGGGGCTGGAGTGGAGTTTGGGTTTGTGTCCTGATTGTGCTTGGGCTCAGGGTTAGGCCCCGGTCAGGGTCATGGTGGGACTGACACTTGGCTCCAGTGGGCTGGGTCTTTCCAATCCCAGATCCCTGGGCCTTTCTTTGGCTGGGACTGCAGCTCACATGAAGAAATTTGAAGAGTCCTTCGTGGAAGAATCTGGGGTGAGCAGTCCACAGATCTACATGAGGAACAAGGCTGGTTGCCTTCAAGTTTAAGGTGAACCTCATGCATGATGCTTACACCCAGCTTCACCCCTCACCTGGGGCTGAGGCCCACACAGACCCCACATGGTGTAGGACGTGCACAGGTGTGGGTGAGAGTGGAGGTGTGTGAAATGTGAGCGTGCCCGTGTGTGTTCCATGCATGGGGGAGGTGTGCATCTGGCGTGTGTGCATTTGTAGGCAGCTTATGTATGCATGTCTGTGCCGTCCATGTGCGTGTGGTGCACATCTGTGCCTGGTGTGCTTGGTGAGGGTATATGGATCATGTGTTGGATGCATAAGTGTAGCTTGTGTGTGTGAGTACACATATCATAGCCCTCCAAAACATACAGGTGGATGCACACACATTCCAAGTGAACCCATATGTGGGTACATTGCACACACACAGAATGCACACAGGGAGAGCAGGTGGACGCACACCTCCTAGCACACGCACACAATGGCATACACATATTCCATGTGCACACATCCACGCAATGCACAGGACACGCAGGTAAGCATAGGCGAGCAAACTGCGTTCAGACACACAAACCCGCTGCACACGTAGATGCACATACCATGTGAACACACACATCCCTACACGCCCACACACTACACACACAGTGTGCCTCACAGGCATGCCTGTCACTTGCATATGCACACACGCACACTTGCAAGCCACACAGCTGTGTACACTAGTGTGCAGCCCAGCCATATGCATGCATGGGTTAGTGGTGGGGGGCGGGGAGGGGTATCTGTTCTTGGCAGTTTGAAAGAACTCACGTGCAAGAAAGACCTGATAGCTGTTATAACAGTCGGTGGTTCTTACAAATTGATCAACGCACCTTATTACTCAGCTCTGCCTCTCAGAGTCCCCAAAACGAATAACCTCGGTGCACTAAATGCTGGCGGGCCATCACTCTGACAGGGAGTG